GAAGCTGACGAACCTCACCATGTAGCTTGTGTACACTGCCTGACTCTCCGGATTCTGCAAGCGCGCCAACGGTCGCACGTCTGGCTCCTCTCGCTTTGCGCTCCGCAGCCAGCGCCTCAACTCTTGCGGGAGCGTAGCTAGTCCTTTCACGCTTCTTTCAATCAGCCCTTCAGTCAGCTGAGCAGCCAGCTTGATCTTGCGCTCGCTGTGATCGGGCAGGCGGGCTTAATGCGCTAGATGAGCGAGATTCTGGTCCTTAAAGAACTCCAGCCAGCCTGTGCGCTTAAACCATCCTATCTTGTCAGTCTTTGCAGCTTCTTCTAGTGTTTGCAGCTCTTCCTCAATTTCTTGTTGTGTTAATCTGTACTCAGCAAGCTGTGCCTGGACGTGGGTTTCCATCGCAGCGTCTTTGGGATCTCTAGCATCTATAAAACTAATAACAAAGTATTTCTGCAGTCCTCCAGTGTGGAAAAAGCTCTGCACCTTCACAGTCCTATAGAGCAAGCTTTTCTCTCCCACCCACGCTTGCTCATAATTTCGCTTGCAGTGCTTGCGCATCTCATCTTTGTTGATTGTGATCTAGCTGCATGTCTCGCACTGCGCACCATCAAGCGGCTTTCCTAGCTCTTCTATTGGCTGCGCGGGCTCTTCTGGGAGCTCAATCGCGCTTAGAGCGACGGTCTCAAATTGAGTGAAGCGCTCAAGTATCTTTTGCCGTAGCGCAGCAGATGCAGCATGATATTTGCGGAGATGCGCATCAAGACTCACAACTGCTGTACAGTGCTGCTTGCAAACAATAACGCCAAAGCCTTCAAGAAAGCAGAAAACGTTATTAGAATTGCTGAGTGTGAGCTGCTGGGGCCATCTGTAGGAGTTTGCAGTGTTGTTTTCGCTGCTGCCTGAATTGTTTGCTTGGCTGTCCCACACAAGCTCCATCGCGCAGAATGTAAGGAGCTGGCCTCTGCGGGCTATTTGCAAGTATGAATCAAATGGATTTGTTGAGGAGTGGCTGCAGGCGGAGGTCTGCAGACTTTTATGTCCTCCGTGCGGAGGTTACACAATTAGTCAAGATTGGGACCTCCTGACTGGGGGTACAGCTAGGCAGGCACCTCCTCTCAGAGGTTGGCCGAGGCCAGCGAGCGCTGAGGCGCTACCATCGGGCCTAGCCCGTTACACAGAAACCCTAACCCTACTTACTATAACAGCACTAAGTTTTGCTGAATAGACAGACAAAACGCTCAGCGTCGCTGCGCAAAGTATATAGGAATTAAGTTTGTATAAGATATTTTTTAATTTAGGCCCAAAGTAATGGCGGGTTGGTGGTGTTAGGGTAACGCGGGGGACCACCAAAGCAGATCGCTTAAAAGGGGTTAAACCCTAACGCTAAGCCTCTTTTGCCGCGGTTCGGTGTCCTCCCCGCGCCCTTATCTTGGCTAGGAGTTTGCAGTGTTGTTTTTGCTGCTGCCTGAATTGTTTGCTTGGCTGTCCCACTGTGCACAATACACTCGTTATATACATTTGCTCTTCATACCGCAACATATGTTCAACGCTCCAGCAGCGCTATAGATACTGCGAAATTGGCCAGCATAGAAGGCCTAGATAGTAAGGATAACTCTGCCTTCTCTAGTAGTATTCTGAAGTTGTTGTTGTTAAGGCATGTTGTGTTAGGGTAAAAGGTGGTCGTGCCAAGAGAAAGTGGCTGGTTCGGTGATATGGCCGGCTCGGTGATAATCTACGTTACCTGTTTAGGATAGATTAAGCTGCGCTGCGGCTTGACGGCAGCCTTAGAAGCTTCCCCCCAGCCAGCGATGCTACCTTTGCCTTCAACTGGTTATACAAGCCGCCCAACAAATACTACAAGAAGCTCTTCATCCATCAAGCAGTTGCGCCATCTACTCCACAGCACGAGGACGCGTACCGCCCTTTCAGCTGCGGGTGGCTGGTTCCCGAGGAGACAAGCCTGTGCAAGCCTGTCTTTGTTGCTCACTCTCTGCTGTCAGCTATCTGGTTGGTGCGAGCGTCGCTCCCAGACAAAGACACGCTCCCTCCCTGACGATGTTTGGGCTCGCCTTGTCTCTGCAGCAGACACACTCACCTCCCAGGGCGCAGAGCAAGCTCCGCCTTCTGCTCAAACTCCCGTCCAGTCTACAGCAGCAGGGAGCTTTCACGACGCAGGCCTGCGCTGCAAAGCGCCTTCTAGCTCAAAGCGGCCTACCTCAACTGGAGCGTCTCCATCGCCGAAGCGCGCTCGGTCCGTGGAGCCTCTAGGCCAAGCTGCCAAGGCGCCGTCGCATGCGTCGAGTCTTCGGATCTCCAACTGCAGCAGCGATCTGGAGGAGCTACGTCCACAGGAGTCGGCAGCTCTGATCACCACAGTCACTAGCAACAACCGTCGCGCTGAGCAGGCCTGTGACAAGAAGCGTAAAGCTTCGCTGATGAGAAAGCGGCTAGACCTTGGTTTGATTAAACTAAGCAACACGGCTTCTCGCGACGAACACTACGCCTACAACTATCTTTCCTAGAAGGACGAGGCCATTGTCGGCTGGATCATTAAGCAGCCAGTCTCTGACACAGACGACTTCTACAACGCCGCCTAAACGCTGTATCGCACAGCTTTAATCTTTCTGGAGAAGGCCCGTGCGCTCGGGAACCTTAACGCTCGATTCTACGCTCGCCAGTTCCTGCTAGGCTGGCGAGAGCGTGGAACACTGTTCCAAGGCAGGTTTGCTAGAGACGTACCTCGCTCCCAGCAGCACCAGCAGCAATCGCAGCACAGCAGCCACCTTGCAGGGTCGCAGAGACAAAACGACACCGATGTGGAGTTTTGCTCTGCCTGGGATAGGTGCAGACGCTACGAGGGCATGCTAGCAGCTGTGCACATCGAGTACAGGTGGGCGGAGGCCCTCTTGGGCCGAGCGTACGCCAATAAAATAACACAGATTCAGCAAAACGACCTTATCTCTAGCAATGACAGAACAAGAAACCAGTATGGCAAAGGCCAGGTCCGCTCAGAGGCCATTGCAGCTCTGCTAAAGCTGATCAACCCTGACGCTACTACAAAGGAGAGGGAGGCCTTCTAGAAACGCCTAGCAAGAGCAACGCGTTGGTATGAGGTCGCCTAGGGCTTAGGGTGGGGCATCTTCACCCTTATGCCTTACAAGTACTTTGCAAACTCTTAGATTAAGCAGACAATCTATGCTTAGGGAGTGCACCTCTAGATAGAGTTGGTGAAGAAGGAACGTCTAGATGTCTAGGCTGCGAGCAAGGTCCTTGATGACTAGTTAGGGCCTGAGGGCATCTCTGGTGGACCTATTAGTAGGAAGCAGACGCTTAGCATTGAGTTAGATATCCCTCTAGATCCTGTTGTTGAGGAAGTTGAGGACAGCAAAGACGATGGGATAGATGAGAGTGCTGACAACGCGTTACAGCAGACGCAAGCCACGTCTGAGCGCCTTTCTGCATCAGCTCACAACATGCAACAGACAAGCTTACTTGAGCTGTTCTATCCTATAGAGCAAGAGTAGATTTAGATAAATAGTCTTGTAGTCAGTTGCGTGGTTATTTACAAACAGCTCTGGAGTTGTGCAATCGGCCCTTGTGCTCGCTGTACAGCCGTTGCCAACCTTTGCTAACGTTATTAGATATCTACGCAACACAATGTCGCGCATGAATTCTGAAGAGTGCAGATTGTTTGTAGCACTTTGTTGCGCGATGCCAGCGCGCTAGATAGTAGTATTTTGTAGAGAGTACACCAACCTAGTTCTTGTTTGTAAAAAGGAATCGGGTTGGGTCGCGTGCAGGGGTCTCACTAGCGCCAAAAGGAATCGGGTTGACTCAAACCGGTTACTGATTAGTAGTGAGATTGACAATAGATTAACAACAGAACATCAGATTGACAACAGATTGACGGCAGATTGACAACAGATTGTGTAACGGTTGAGAGGAGAAGCAGATAACGTGTTGTTGGCGGTGGTCTGGTGCTACTTCCTCATGTTGTTGAGCACCTCTTACCTCAGCTGCATCATAAAGACGTCATCAAAACAGACTCCGCAGCGAGCCTTGGAGAGCAAAGATACGAACGCAAGAACAACACAATACACTCGTTATATACATTTGCCCTTGATACCGCAACAGATTGACAACAGAACATTAGATTAATAACAGATTAACGGCAGATTGACAACAGATTAACAGCAGATTAACAGCAGATTAACAACAGATTGACGGCGGATTGACGACGGGCTGACGACAGACTGTTAAACCTGAAACGGATAGCGTCTTCGTGCACGTACCGGTACCGGTACTGGCTTGGCATGGATTGCCGACGGCAATCCGTCAGCCCAATATCTATAGTTTACGGCAGGGAAGAATTAGCATCTGTGTCGCGTTGCATGCACGCGACTTTGGGGTGGGGTGCGTGACTGCGTAACCAGGAAATATCGGGGGTTGATACTACGAAGCATCATATACGAGGTAGCATACGCTAGCGCTTGGATACAGGGAACGATTGGCACTGGAGTAGATATGTTGTGGTATCAAGTGCAAATGTAAAACGAGTGTATTTGTGTTGTTCTGCTTGTGTCCGGCCTGTGGAAGGCTGGCTGCAGGGTCTGGTTTTGCATGACGTGTTTGTGATGCAGCTGAGGTAATAGGTGCTCAACAACATGAGGAAGCAGCACCAGACTACTGCCATCAATACGTGATCTGCTTCTCCTTACAACCGTTACATAGGTCATCGAACCACATGAAAACATGAACGAGACAGAGAGATAAGAGAATATTGTCTGCGTGACGCGCAATCAAAGTCTTCAATACTCCTTTCCATATCCTTTGTCCCTCCTGTACCTTACGCCTACCTTCACGCTCTGTAACTCCAAATAGATTGTTCCGCTGTTATCACGCTTAAAATGACACTTCTTATGTCTTCCCATACGGTCTTACGCAGATTGCAACGTCCAATCATACGAACAAGTGGGGTATGGCTATTACCACGCCTACAAGCTGTATCCATAGTTTCTGTGGCACGGGTGATAATCAAACAAAATCCTCGCGTGTTAGCAAAAGCACTTTTCCCCCCTCCTAACGAGTACGATGATGATGCACTCCAGATATGTATTAAGAAATTGCAAAAAGGGAAAATACTCTTACCGCAGTTGGGGAAATCCCAGAATCGTGACAGAAGCAACGCTAGACAGGAGTCGAAGGCTCCAGCGCGAGAAGTTATTTTGCCTGGCAAGACAAGAGACGAAGAGATTCAGCTGCGCCTTCAGCAAGGTCAATCATTTCTCGACATAGGATCATCCCTGCAGAAAACCGCAAAGTTCATTGTTCAAGAAGCAGACCGTATCCTTGGGAAAGATGAGGTAGAAAGGCTGCTGAGACAAAAAAAACGGCAACAGTGGTCGGCCAACGAGACGCAACAATTGACAGCACTGCGACAGCAAAAGTTACCACTCAAGACAATAACAATGTGGCTGCGGAGAACAAAACTAGAAGTAGAGAAAAAATCTCAAGAACTCAAAAGCACATGGTCAGGACCAGATGCAGTTGAGGGTCCTCAAGAAATGCCGCCAGGGTTGCAGGTGTCACTTTTCAATACTCGGTTGGCTGAGATTTGGCAGGCACTTCTGAAATCCGACATGACACAGGCTTGGAGAGAAGCGCTTCAGGAGAAATCAGCCAATGAGTGGCTTTCTAGTATTTCACTGGGCATCCCGGAAGATGTCAAGAAAGCGCTTGGAGGGCTGCGACCTCCCACCTGGGACGAGCTTGGGAGCTTACCGTTGATTGACACCAACAACGCTGGCGTTTACGCGCGACTTGTCATGTCTCGCCACAAAGTCCAAATGGTCAGTGACCGTTATCTCTACGTTGGATCAGCTAGTAGATATGGTGGTGGCCTGAACTTGAGGATCGCCGAGCACACTAAAAAGATCAAGCGCAAGTACGAGTCTAGGCTCCAGTATGATATCAGGACGAAGGCATTGAAAGCTAGCGGCCGCTTCATCACTCTCATGGTCATGAAGACGGATAGCTCTCAAAAGGAAGTTGTCCTTGACGTGCGCAGGACAGTAACCTTAGCAGAGGCAATCTTAACTGTATGGTTGAGCGCACTTCAGGCTCCAGCTCACGGCCTCCAGTGCGTGTGTCCGTGGGACCCAGCGTTACTTCAGTATACGGGGTGGTCATCGCATAATCCTCTGCTGAATGATATTGTGTTGCCTATCAGCAGCAAGACTTCTTGAAGCAGGCTAGTCGCAAAGTTAGTCGGCCAAGATGACAAGCACAAGAGATTGATTGAGGTAGTAGGAGATATGTCGCGGTGTAGGAACAGCGCATATGCAGAAGGAATTGAAGGATTGAACTGAGGTTGTATTGTATGTAGCTATAGACTGTTGTTATAGGGGAATAGCAGTGAGGTGTAAAAGGAAAGGGCAGGGTGTACTACGTTGTACAGCAGTAGAGATATGAAACTGTGATACGTGGTACAAGAGAAAAGACTCCAAAACCGTGACACAAATGCAGAACGCCAATGGATATTCGAACGATTCTTGTCAAACCATGTGAAGTCTAGCCAAGCATTCTTTCGCAGTGAGGTTGACGTGACTTAGAGTCTGCAGCACATTTTGTAGTTCTAGCTGCATCTTAAAGGTCGAATCGAGGTGAGGGTTCGAGATAATGAAGTCCACGCAAAGATAGAGAAGAACCGGCGTGAAAGGGTGAATCTAGATATAGTAAGTTATTGAGTATCAAGCACAGAAAAAAAGAAGTTATTAACTGTACCTTGAAAAAGCTCAATTCGATCAGCGCCTTCGAGAGCGTGGTCATCTGTTGCGCTGCCACAATTGCTCTTTTCTCACGCTGCGCCGCATAGTTAGTGGTATCCTCCATACCCCATGGTGCTGTCCGACAGGATTTGAACAATATCAGAGCAGAAGCTTGTGCTGCTAGTACCGTGAAATACACCATTGGATCCTGAAAGATCAATGTGTATGGATCATCGAGAGACATGCCCTTCAAGGCTTGTTCGAGCCTTGCATCAAGCTGTTGCTGTCTGTCCCAAAAGGGCAGCGATATCAAACCCTGCGTGTGCTCAACAGCGCCTTGCTGTTGATGCGATAGTAACTGTCCACATATTGCGAACAGTTGAATTGAGTCCATGAACGTGGATGGGGTTTGGTTATCGGTTTGGATAGGCAGGCTGCGCAAAAAATCTGTGACCACAGCCTCATCTGACTGAAATTCTTTCTCAGAACAGGGTAGGCGGGTCAGGATCTTGAAGCGCTTGTTAGTCCTCTAGCTACCTATGCGAATCTAGGGCATTTTCTTACAATGTGCTGATCGAAGGTCAATGGCAAGCGGTCTAGCAAACTGGTAATTTGATCGATCGTGTAGGCCATCCAGAACGTCCTCCTTCGTTCTTCGATCTCAGTGACGTTTAAATTCTGGAGTTGATCTGCTGCGATGCCATCTAGTCCGTCCACGTTGTGCAGTTTCATGAGTATTGCGTAGCGGAAAAACTTTCCCGCGCTCATCCATGCTCGTCGGTAGCCTATATGCATAAATTCATACACAGCCAGCAAGCCCCAGGCCTGGACCTGCTCAAGTTCGATGCAGTCAGGTTGAGGCTGCCTCATTTCAAGGTTGTCGATCAAGAGCCTTGTTTGCGAGTATAGATCGTCCTGAATATGCTGAAATTGGCTTGAGGTAGAAACTGCGAGCGTCCACATAACATGTTGGAGACAGTGAAAAGAATCGACGGCGCTCTCGGAACATATTTTTCGGGCTCGCGCGAAGTAGTGTCGTTTATTGAGGATAGGGAAAAAGCTGTGAAATCTATTAAAGTAGAGGTGATTCCTATGTCGGGTTTTAATTAGCTAGAAATCTGTACTGTGGCTCATACGCAAACTCACAGGTCCGACCGCATCAGGTCAGAAATGAAACTGATTGGCGATATTCCTGCCAAAGGCATGGTCATAGTCGAGCCGGATTGTGAAAAGACAATATCGACACCGAAACCATTCGCGGAGCTGCTATTGGAACCGTCTTTCTCGAATCCATCCTGAGAGTATGCAGCTACGAGATCTGGGAACGACTGATCTGGAAAAGTATTTGTCTCATCAGGAAATCGTATGAACTCGTCTTCGCCCGTATCTTCCAGTCCCTCACTACTGAGGCGTTGCTCGAGGGCGACTATAGGGTGTTGGTTTGGCGAGACCTGAAGGTTTGATGCAAACATACCGATTCGAGACTGTAATGCGCGTAAATGACCTTTTCTTGGACCACGAGGTTGTCGTGTCGTTGTCGTGACGCATGTTGTGTCGGAATCCCGACACACGCCACATTGAGGCTGACCTCGATCGCAACGAAGTTTCCGTCTACGGCTCTCATCGCATGCTACGCCAGGTTGTTGACGCGAGCGCGGGGTTTCGGAGTCTAGGTTAACAGGTGACATATTTTCCGGGACAGGGCAATCCGCTGGAACCTTGAAATTGTCTTGCCACGATCCAGCTGAACGGTTGATGTTATACAAGCCGGATTGACGTACAGCCCGTACTGCTAACCGTGTTGCGGCCCGCTCCAGATGTATGGCCTACCCATCTCAGGTACATACTCGGGGGTACTGTGGCGCGCTCGTGGTGTATTGAACTTGTACCATATACAAATGAGTCGGTTTCGGAGTAATTTTGGTCATTAGCGCTACTCCACGTCATCCCAAAGACCCAGGGCCCCTTGTTAACAATCTCAATCCAAACCCCCTATACAGAATACCGCAGTAGACAGGTGTAGCGGAACGGACGCGCATTAGCCTATCAATTAAACACTGGTTTCTATTCAGGCTGCGACAATGCAGGGCTGACTCGAAAGAGGCCGAAGTCCAAAGTTGCAACCAAGTCGAGAGGCCTGGTGATGACAAATTCGCACGTTGAGAAGAGAGCTAAGACATCCAGCCCCAACACGGTAATTGTGGTAGATAAGGGGCAATTGCATGACTTGCTGTAACGATCCCCGACCTTACACGAGGCGTTTCCTTGGCGCCAACACAAATTTGGTGGCCAGTGCGCTGCAACGGTCCGGGGTCCCTCCCTATTCTTACATACATCGTTCTAACTAAAGTCGGTGTCGCTACCCATTCCTGCATACCTAGGTAGCTGTTGTAATTTCCAAGGCTGTTCGACACCACTACCTACAGCTTCTTGTCCAGAACATAGTCGTTGTAACCAAGTTCTCGCCATGCTTTTGAGAGAGTTCCCGACTCTTTCCAAAACGCCAGTCACCAGACCAGACACCAAAGCCCTCCCCCGAATATTGTGCCTACATGGCGGCGGCGTAAACGCAGCGATCTTCGAGGCGCAGTCACGATCACTTAGATTTGATTGATTTGATTGGGTCCTACACGGTTGCAGCCGCGAGAAGCAGCTATGCCCGGATGACAGGCTTGACGGACAGCCGACGCGGTGCGGACGTTGATCCGCGCCGCCCCACTTCATCTCTACGACCATCTGCCCTCAGAGGCCTGCTGTTTCCCTCTCATCACTATCTACATTTGGCTCCCAACCTTATCTAGATATTGACTCTACTAACTGAACCCTGTACTTCTAGGCTTGTAGAGGCGCAATTGCCTCGTGTTCTGCGTCTGCGATACCTTCAGTCTCCCCCCAGCGCTCAGCTGTCGTCTTCGCGCCTGCAATCCCCATTTTGCCCAAGGATCTGCGTCTGCTCTATATACTTGATGGCTTTGGTGGCTAGCTGTGGCGTGCCTAGGATAGTCTGGATGTTGTTTCGTCCAGACAGGTTGGCGAAGATGTGGTTCTAGAGGTTACTGCGCTTGTTGCAGTAGAGGAGGATGTGCGCGACAGTCTGTCGTCTCGCTCCACAGTCACAGCGGGGGCTGGTGACGTCTGGCACTCTTTGGGCGAAGAGGAAGTTGTTGAGGCCAATCTTCTCAGTCCGCAGCTGTACCAGCAGCGCGCTTTCCTGTTTTGTGAGGCCCTCATGGAGCCGGAGTATCTTCTTAGTAGGCGTCGGTGTGTGTCTGTATGTTGCTCGGCCTTTGGTGTCTTTACGCCACTTTGCTATCCATGCCTGCTCTGCCTGTGTCTTGCACCATCTCTTCACCGTCGACCGTATGGTGAACAGCTGGAGAGGCGGATCTGCTGGCTGCTGACTGCGGCTGTCCTCCCTCCATCCGGTGGCTTCCTTGGCCGCTCTGTCGACGGCCTCATTCCTGGGTATGCCCACGTGGGCTGGTATCCATCGGACGGTTACTGTCCGTCCGTTGTCCTGGAGCTCCTAGACCTGTCTCGCGATGTCCGCAAGGATGTAGGCGCCTGACCGTCCCTCCGCCTTGGCAATGGACCAGATGGCGGCCTGGTTGTCTGTGTATATAGCGACGTCTTGTCGCGCCCCGTTCCGGCCTGCATATTCTTGTGCGATCTGCAGTGCTAAGCTGATACCTTGCAGCTCTGCTGCGTATACTGTTGACGCAGTGTCTAGGCCCATGTGTACAGATCGTGTCTGTTGTGTGAGCGGACACAGTGCTGCAGAGCCTATCTCGCCTTTAATGCTGCTACCGTCTGTGTATATGCTAAGGCTGCTGTCCTTTGCGTGTTCTCTGTCATGTCTCTCCTGTGCCTTGTTAGCAGTTAGATTAATGTAGGTAGTTAGACCTTGTCTCTAAGGTGGAGTAAGGAAGCATAGGATCTGCTCTTGCCTATTAAAGTCTTAGGTTTGTCTCCTTATTATGTTACTGTGTACCTTCTCCTAGGAGCTAATATGTCTAATATAGGTCTTGTCTGTAGTTGTTAGCTCTGCTGTGCTTGTCTAAAACCCTAAGGTAGCTACAATGTCCCTACTTGAAAGTAGCTGGGTGACTATGTCTGCGTTGTGCTTCTATATCTACTGCTTAATAGGGAGGAGAAATGTCTCTATGTCTAGCGCTGCTCTTGACGTAGCCCTGTACGCCCTGCTGATAACCCTCGCTGCTCTTGCTTGTATACTCTGCAATGTGTTAAGCATCCTTCTGGTGTACAGCTTCCCTTTTATGCTAGCGTTTAACTATATCAAGCAGGCGTACATTATCTGCGGGAGCACAGTGCCCTCATATATTTGCCGCAGGTTAAGAAGACTGGCGCCCCAGTTAGACCCTCCTAGGCTGCTGAGAGCGTTGATTGTCTTTGTTGCTTTTCATCTAATCTCCTCTGTGTGTTCTTTCTAGTGTAGCTTCACATCCATTGTTAGTCTAAGGTACTTGCACGTTGCTGCAGGTTGTATCTTGCCCTATTTAGTTTAAATAGGTGTCGCAGTATTAATGCGTTTACGTGATCTTGTAAAGTAAGTAAGCTAGAACTTGTTTAGAGCAAAGACTAATGCGTGTGTGTTAGCCTAACACTGTGCCTTCTTAAGTATCCTACCTAGTGTCTTGCATGTTTGCTCTGTTGTCTTGCCCTATACAAGGATGCTAACATTATCTATGTAGCCTGTGGATATAATGTCTAATACTTAGTTGCATTTCTCTATTAGGTTAGCATTGTAGAAGAGGTAGAGGATAGGTAATAGTAGTAATCCCTAGGGTATGCCTGTGTTAATTTAATACGCTGTTAACTAGAAGCTGTTAATTGCAATGCTCGTATGTCTACTGCTAAGAAAGCTTGCAATCCACTTTACTGTCTTCTTATCCACTTGCCTCTTGCGTAGATTGTAGAGCAGGCGTATGTGCAAGACGTTGTTAAAGGCGCCAGAGACATTAAGGAGCAGGAGGCTTGCTACGTGACTAGTGTTCTAGCTCCATGTTTTGTATATCTTGTGGGTGACGGCATGGAGAGCATGCTCAGTTGAGCGCATCTTCCTGCCGCCCATGTGTGTCAGTGGTAGGACGTGATAGGTCTTGGCCAGGTAGCTGAGCTGTCGCGCTATAACTGCATCTATGATTTTGCCTATATAACGGTTTTCGAAATACCATGTACATCACGTGCAGTGGCGAGGGGTATTCTTAGAACTTCAACGCATCACCCATAGGCTAATTCTGAGTGTATCTTGATGATTGCAGCTGTTTTCTTAACCTTCTATACACGCTTAATTTATTCATGAAGCTCTATCGCGACTCTCGCGACTGTTTTCTGGTGTTGTTGGGGCAGAGACTCTGCGTGGCAACCAACCCATGATGCGCGTCAACGGCAAACGTTTACCCGCCACCACGCAGCAAGCTGTAGTAGAGCATATAGCTGCTGGGGAGAAAGATTCCGAGGTTTCTGCTGCTTGCCAAGTCGATCGTCGCACTGTAGCAAAGCTGCGATTAAGCTTGGAGTACTGGGGACAGTGCTATCCTCCGCCTTCTGTCAGGCTCGGCCGCCCGCCTTTACTGCGGCAAGCGCAGCTAGAAGCACTCCAATTATACCTCGATGGGCGACCCGGCGCCTATCTGGAGGAGATGCAGCAGTGCTTATACAACGATTACAACGTGGAGTGCTCTCTATCGACAGTGTGGCGGGCTTTGGAGAAGCTTCACTACAGCAGGAAGCTGGCTACAAAGCGTGCGATTGAGCAAAGCGAGCCAATCCAGAGGGTGTACAGAGCGAGGATGCAACAGTACAAGGCGGAGTAAATCATTGCGATCAATAAGAGCGCTTGCAACAAGAGGACTAGCGACTGTAAGTATGGTTAGAGTAGAGTCAGCACGCCTGTTGAAGTAGCTTACTCTATAATAAAACAGAGTAAGCAATGGTCACTTCTGCCAGCAATAACAGTCAACAGATACCTCAGTTACACTATTTTTTAAAGCTTAATTACCTTAGAGATTATAGAGGACTTCCTTAAACACTCTGTGTTGCTATATACAACACCTAGGTACTCTGTCATCGTACTAGACAACCCCTCTATTTATTATTTAACTCAGGTTCGTGAGCTTTGTGCGATGTACAAGGTAGAGCTAGAGTACCTTCCACCATACTTACCTGACTACAATCCAATCGAGAAGAGCTTTAAGCAGCTAAAAAGTTAAATTAAAAGACGCTCTGATAATCAGGCTTTGTACAACAACTTCTAAATGGCTGAGTTGCAATGCGCTGACGCTGACTAGATGCTGCTAGTGTTGTAGGTGCGGGTGCCTCCTGTGTCAATTTAGGTGCTGGCTTATTAATTTTCTGCCAAGTTAAGCTAACCTTCTCGTAGGCATCACAACACCACAAAAAGTCAAGATACTAATAATATCAAGCTTTATTTATCCTAGAAGGAGCAGCAGCCAGCTCTGTTGTTGTTAAACGCTAAATTTGGCTGAGACAGCAACATTGACATCGTCCGCATCTTCCGCGCGCTAAATCACATGATGTACATGGTATTTCGAAAATCACCCATAACGTACCCCACGGGCGAGTCGGACACACGGGCGAGTCGGACACTTTTGCCAAGACCCTACTAAACCTCACCCTATTATGGCCCAAAACACCACACTCTAGCGCTGCAAGGTGCAGTACAGCTTAGAATATCATTTAGAGACTACTTCTGTATTATTCTTGCACGTTCGCGCGTTGTGCCCAGTCTGATTGCACTATCCACAGCGTTGTTAGGAGGGCTCACCCACTTCAGCGCGCACCCGCTTCTTTAACTTCTTTCTATCACCACGTGCCCTAAACTCCTTTAGAGCTGCTATCCGCTGCCCTTCCTTAACTGTAAGGGTCCCTTCCTTCTAGATTCGCTTTCTTTTGCGCGATTTACGTTCTGTGGCAGCTGCTAGAGCTGCGTGAAGCTCAGCGTTCTCCTGTTGCGCTAAAACTAGCTTGTGCGATAGAATCGCTCCCCCCTTTGCGTAGTGCTCAAGCGCGCTCAGCACAGAATTGGGTGAGCTACCCTGCTGCTTCTTATACTTCTCTTGAATCAGAGTTGATTGCGACTAAAGTTCTAGGGTATTGCTAGGGGTTTGCAACTGCTAGGGCTTGTTATTATTAGGGAGTTGTGGTGATAGAGTGCGCAGCTTCACATTAAGCCCTATTATAACCTATTCTAGGTTAAAGGGGACTAGTCTAGCGCCTTAGAACCCTCCTTAGATGTTGCTTAAGGTAAATACAGCATTGTAGGCTGCTTTAAAGCATAGCAGGAACTTAAGCTTTATAATGTAGTTAATCTAGTTGCGCATAAGGTCTTTAGCTTAGCGCCTATACGCCTTCTTTAGAGGGGCAAAACAGCCCACATTAAGTAGCTGCAGGAGATGCAATAAGTGCAGAGGCATACATACAGTAATAATCTTGTTATCCTTGCAGTATTCCTAGAAATCTAGTAAGTTGTGGCTCTTATAACTATTAATAACTAGCAGATAGTAGCTGCTAATAGTACGCTCCTTTGTATGCACGTTAAAGTGCTTTAACTAGTTAAGACTAAGTTTGTTAGTAGTCTAGCTATTCTTAGAGACCCTAATAACCTAATTATAGGGTAGATTATCCTCTTTATACTAGTTTAAGAGGTGGTTGTAGCCCTAGAAGATAATAAAGGGTAGAATAGCCCACCCTTTAGCATTAATGCCCTTAATAACTGTTGTCCACTCCTAATTGCCTGGCTAGACCTGCTTTGGCCGTCCTTGTCTCTCTAAAGCTGTAACAACTACTCTAGTAGATATCTAGCCTATTATGAAGCCTGTCTTATTAAAGTTGTACGTGTCGTCATCCTGGATGCCATACTTGGCTTTAATATTGGCTACTAGGCTAAACTAGCCCTAGATTATCTCAGGATCCTCGCAGAGGGCTCTCTTGTAGTCATACTTGCGATTAAACTTCACTTTGAGCTCTAGTTGGCGCTTAACAAACGTACTAGGCCAGTTTAGGCCAACATGGCCCAGACTGCGCTCAGCGCGCAAAGAATTAGCCATATCAGCCACAGCTGCTAGCTGAGGGGAAAATCCTCGCGCGTCTAGCTTAAGTATATAATTAACAATCACCTGCTCCTCAGTATTAGTTAGGCTCCGTGATTTAGGCATAGAATTAACTCGTGAAGGTCGTCCAGCGCGTTAGTCGCTTAGTGTCTGTAGGTAGGCTGGCGGATGGGTAGGGTAGGGTAGGGTATAGGTATAGTCACGTGATTTATGGGTAGGAACTAGGTAGGGTACATGAGGTACCCTACCCAAACGGTTTGGGTAGGGTAGCACGTGACTGGGTATAGGTATAGGTAGGGTAGCACGTGACTAGGTATAGGTATAGGTAGGGTAGCTAGGTAGGGTCTAGGAATGGGTAGTTATTAGCAAAATCTAGGTTACTACTCTAGACTTTGTACTATTGTATACTTTAGAGCATAAGTATGTGATAATAGACTGTGATAATAAATTATAGATGCTTTTTCTTCTAAGTATTGTGTATGCGAAAGAATCTACTAGTACAACCTAGGGTTAGTTGTATACAAACTAGGTTAGTAATATACCCAAACCAAACCTATACCTAGCACGTGCTACCCTACCTATACCTATACCCAGTCACGTGCTACCCTACCCTACCTATGGTCCGTGCAACCCTACCCTACCTATACCTATGGTCCGTGCGACCCTACCCTACCTATACCTACGTCCGTGCGACCTATACCCTACCTATACCCTACCCTAGGTACATGGTACCCATCCGCCAGTCTATCTGTAGGGGAGCTCTATAGATAGCTGCAGCGCGCCGTAGAGAGAGAGTCGCGTCTTGTTTAAGAGCTTGAAGCGCAAGCTGTATCTGAGCTTCTTTTAACGCGTCTGACTGGCGTTCGTGGAGAGGCATTGGTGTAGTAAGGGTGTTTTGGTAGGGTCTTGGCAAAAGTGTCCGACTCGCCCGTGTGTCCGACTCGCCCGTGGGGTACGTTAGTGTTTATTAGAGCAATAGGTCTGTACAATTTTGGTGCTGTGTAGTTGTCCTTGCCTAGCTTGCGTAAGACTACATCAGGAAAAGTTTTTCCATTGTCGAAATCGGGAAATCGTGGCATTGTACTGTGGGCAACAGTAGGACTGGTAGGCCTACAACAGTCATTCAATGTGCATTCAATGTCCAGCCAATTTTGAGCCAATTTTGAGCCAACGGCTCCAACAGTCCCAATAGCTCCAATAGCCACAATAACTCCTAATCCTGCTACAATAGTAGCTCTGCTTTATAAACTATACTTTTATTATATTAATATACTACTAAGTCTCCTCTTTAAAATAAGCTATTAAACAATATTATAGGCCTAGTAATAGAATAGTTATTAACGTACTCTATCACCGAGCCGGTCATATCACCAAACCGGTCACTTAAAATCCCACCAAAAAACACAGAAACCATACCCCTGCATCTTAATAACTACTTAATGGAATCTTCTAAAAACTTCAGAATAGAGCTGCATCTATACTAATAAAACTATTTAAAAGTCTTAGACTAATAGCTAGTATAGATGTTGAGATAGCCTGCAGCTACCCCTGTATTTTAGTATCTTCTAAATAACATCTGCAATATAGGGCTAAGCACTCTAAGACTTTCAAACAGTCTTATTAGTATAGATGCAGCTCTATTCTAAAGTTTTTAGAAGATTCTATTAAGTAGTTATTGAGATGCAGGGGTATGGTTTCTGTGTTTTTTGGTGGGATTTTAAGTGACCGGTTTGGTGATATGACCGGCTCGGTGATGTATAGCAGGTGTAATCATTGGCACCTAATTCCCTCTTGTCTTTGCCTATTTAACCAGTCTCCACAATGCCTCTAGCGACTTCCGCAGCGGTGCTTTCCTGGCAATGGAGGATCAGACCATACACTGTTGTTCGAGCGGTCCAGGTTCCGGGATTCTTTCTCTCGCGTCCAGCAGGTGCGAAAGGTTTCAGAGTGAAATTGCGCGACATGAACTCAGGCAACGTCTGGTTTAAGATCAGGATGCCATACACCGAGTGTGTATATTTCACATTACCAGCAGCTTCTAGTACAGAAGTTATATTAAAGCTTGCAGCGATGGTAAAGTTTTTGGGAAGAGTCTGCGTCGATCGTTCAACAGAGAAGAAACCCGCTTGGAAGATACAACTCCGAAGGTGTTTACCACCGTTGCGAAAGAGGCCCAAGAAACAAGCCAATGTCTAGGAGCAAAAGTCAATCCCTATTTCTCAATGTCAGTGCCTGACACTGGCCTTCTCTTGGCTGCCACAATTGGCACGAACAGCATGAAGTCGAACGGATATTGCAACAAAAGACTGTCCTCACCAAGCGCGCCGCCAGGTTTTGACATTTGACGATATTGCTCATAGCGTTTTGCGTCGTTGTCGATCCAAACGGAACACGCTAAAAATCACGGCCAGAAGGGTAGTTAGGCTGATACCGATAAAGGGAAGTCTGTGACAGAGGAATATCGTTGATGTCGAGTGCAAATATGATGTCTTCATCTGCCTGGCTTCTATGAAGATAGTACGGTAAAATGGCGATGAGTGTCCAACAAAGGACCATAGTGAAGATCAGGTTCCACGGTCGTAAGGCTGGAGGATACCATTCATGTCGCTGAGGCATGGCTCGCCTGCAAGCGGCGAGTCGTGATAAGCGTTCGAAGATTCAAACAACAAAGTACATGAAAGGAGCTTCAATTCGAAGACGGGGAGCATGTACAGTGACAAGCAGACACTCTGATCATAAACCCCCTCAACGTTTCAGCCTTGTGCGACATCCAAAGCCAAGCCTGGGGGCTAAAACCGGGCTACCCGTATAGTCTCAGTTGTGTTGGATTGAGCCTACACTTAAGATAGTTAGAGATAGCGTAGATCTTAACCTATCTGAATGAGTCGGGGCTCTTGTCAACGCTACCCTCTGCTATTTACTGGTTCAGATCGCTCAACAACCGCGCAACCACTAAATACTGTTGCGGGAAGAATTGGCCTACTTAGCATGCCTGTTTTGGGGCACTAATTTATGTACATTTTGCCTCCTTTTTGGCTGCGACAAATACCCTAAGTATAGGCTCAATCCGATACAACTGAGATTCCACGGTAATCGACGCTGAATCCATTTTCTTGGGCGGGGCGGAGCGATTGACTTAACAACTATGTATGCCTAATGTCCTATTTTTGTGCAGCGCTCGAAATAGCGCCTGGCAATGGGGGCGGTATGCTGAGTCGGGTTTATTAGAATATGGTGTTGGTCAGGGTTGAATAGTCACGTGACTGAATCCGCCCCCGACCCAATCCCTACCCAGACTGTTTTCGTTAGTGCTGGGTCACGGTTGGGCTCAAGCTTACCATGTTTGTGCACTCAACGCGCGCTTGACATACCCGGGCTGGTCACATACCCATTAAGTACATCAATAATAAACATAATCTTAAAGCACTTTAACTTACGGTTAGACTATTTCTGCAACAAGCTACCACAGGATCCTTAAGGCAATTTATATAACACCAAAGAAGTGGAGCTCAGACCAAGTACATGTAGTAGCTTTGTGTCCAAAAGAATAAACAGAGGTAGCACCGCAAGGATGCTCCTGATAGAGGAAAGCAAACCCATCATCTGACCTCAGTCCCAACCACGGCGGCAGTTCAGTCAGTCCACCTGCCCAGAGCGGTAGTCGAAAGCGGGCGGCCAACATTGATCGCGAACAGACCGCCAACATTCCCTGCCGCAGCATAGTTACAAACCGTGTATTTGTTGGACGCAGCCGTCGCACCTCCACCGCTCATCCTCGTACCGCAGTCCACAGACGCACAACCCACTCTCGAGGTTCCCTTCCACAGCACCTGCGTGAGCTGGTCCACGCTAGCAAGCAACGAGACGGGCAGGGTGGCGATTCCAAACCAAGGCGCGACAGACGAGAACTGGTTCTTGTACCATGATTCGGTGATGGCTGCGGTAACGTTGAAGCCGTCGGACGTGGAGAGGTAGCGGTTCTGGCCCTGGCTTACTCCGGCGGGCACGTAGCGCGCGTAGGTGCAAGTATTCGCGGCGGCGCGGGCGTTGGCCTCGCAGGATGAGTCCCAGATGAGCGGCGGGGCGCCGTGGTTTGCGCGGGCAGCGTTGTGGTGGTAGAGGATGGCGGCCTGGTAGGCAAGGCCGATGGAGAGGTAGGCCTGCGCGGTTCCTGTGATGCGGCCGCCGGTGGATGGCACTGGGGTCGTACTGGGTGCGAGCACGGGCTTTGACGAGCTTGGGACTACCGCTGGCTTTGATGTTGTCTGCGGCAGAGGCACCCAGGAAGTCTGGAGAGTGGGAAGTGGCTTCGGTGTTGTCAAAGGTAAGAGGACCCACTTTGACGTGGTTGGCTGTTGTACCGGTCCTACAGTTGGAACAGGGATAACAACGGGAGGTAGACCAGCGGTTACTGTAAGGCATGTGGCGGCTGGCTTGGTGACCGTCACCGTAAGGCATGTGGAGGCGGGCTTGGTGACGGTTGCCAGAATGCATGTGGCAGCTGGCTTGGTGACGGTTACCGTCTGGAAAAGCGTCACCCTCGCACCCAGATCAAGACCCAGGAGCTGAGGCTTCGGCCATGCGAGGACGCCGGTTGCCAGAACGGAAGTGACAAAGATGGAAGACCTCATGTTCGTATTTTCCTCAATGTGTGTGAGTGATGCTGTTGGAAGCAGTGATGCATGAATGTGTAGTCAGGTCCTCCTCCTTTATACATACGCACAAGGCATGGCTAAGGAGGACAACATATTGACTTTGCAGATGAACTGACCTACGCAGCTGTTTCCCAGACATTCGCCATGTTCGAATGTCGACGGTGGCGCATCTGCGACAAAGAGTCGCACTGCTGCTCAACAGCAGATAATGGAGTGCAGCCCGTTTGCGGCAGTCTGCCTTCTGGTATGACCACAAAACGTGTCTAAGGTTGGCTATGGGAGAGATTAAGATAGTGATGCATGTCTGCGAAATATAGGTTGGCCAGCGGAATCGCAGTGTCCCGGCCGAAGACTAGTCTGCATGCAAAAGCAGCCAAGAAGCACTTACTCGCCAGCTCGCATGCTGAACGGCGACGAGGCTGAAAAAGACTGATCTTTGGTTCGCATAATATCTTGGCTTCGCGTCTACATGGCCAGGCGCTCACACGCCAGCCCGCAAGTGGTGAGCATGAAGAACGGCGACGCAGCTGTACAAAGCACAGATCTTTGGTTCGGATAATATCTTGGCTTCGCTTCTATACGACCTACTGCAATAGCGTATCTCGACCCGCAATGAGTCCGAGTCGAGAATCAAGATCATGTTGCCTCTGTTCAGAGTCGAGGGACCATCCAGAGAGCAAAGGCCTCGCTTAGTCTCGAGTTCTGAACTGAGCTGCAGACGGGAGTAGCTCCATTGCCTACTGTACTCTTTCTCGATGCTGCGCGGTAGGTATGCAGGACGTGGACCTCGGCGAGGACTATGTTGAATGATCATCTACCTGTCCCGTGTTTGTGGAGCTCTTTTCCTCCTCCCCAAACAACCGGCCTCCCGAGGTCCAGGCATCGACATGGCGCTCTGGTGTCCCCACGGCTTGTATCAAAGGCCATGTGGTCCACACGTTGTGTTCGAAGTTCGCTTAGAATTGTGGGGTAATGCTTGGGTGTCGATCGCCGTTTGCGGAACGAAGAATGTAGTTAATTACGTCGACTATCGCTCTAGTGGATACCTGGCCATGTCGCCCATTGTCCGCATCATCGTTAACGGAGCCACGCGTGACCATGTACAAGGAACTTTGCCGTCTACCATGCACAAGGAACTTTGCCGTCTACCATGTACAAGGAACTTTGCCGTCTACCATGCACAGGGAACTTTGCCGTCTAGCAGAGGATCAAATAATGTGCGGACATAGTTTCTACGTGGAGGATTCGAGTGCAGCAGCGAAAAAGCGCGATTGAACTCGTGTACTGATCATACCTACCCCGCGGACCACGTGCAGGCAAAAATGCAAGCCAGCTGTATCCAAACCAAACCCGAGCCTTCAACGCCATCGCCATGGTATCAATCGTCGCGTTACCAATAACCCTGGGCCCCAGCATTAAAAAGAAGTTATGAGATTCGTGGTGTGTCAAGTACAGTCGTGAGAGTGACTGGGGTGTATGTGCGTGTTCACGGCAACAAAGGCCGCGGTGGTGAAGTGTTGATGTGGGGCCGTCCTAGTGGTACCGGGGCGGAGTGCCCTGGCCGTTTGGGGCGGCGTTGGGCTGGAACTCCATCTCGCGGGCCATGACCTCGCGCGTCTGCGGGAAGTAGGGCTCGACTCCGTACGTCTTGAGGTACGAGGCCGTCTTCTCGATGCGCTTGATCTCGCGCTGGACGTTCCACTCCTCGCCCTCGCCGAAGCGGCGCTGGACGACGTCGACCATGGCGGCGTCGAGGCGGGCGTAGAAGTCGCGGCGGGCGGTGATATCGGCGCCGTCGGCGCTGTCGAGGCCGCCGTGCGAGTTGAGGTTGCCGCCGAGCTTGAGGATCAGGTCAAAGGCGTACTTGGGGCCCTGGGGCAGCAGCGTCAGGCGCTGGATGTCCGGCAGGAACTTGAGCATGGACGACGCGAAGTGCGCAGACGAGATGGAGTCGTTGAGGTCGTCCTGCAGGCGGTGCAGGTCAAAGTTGACGATTGTGATTTTGCGGTCGAGCTGGGCGTTGAGCGTGTGGGCGGCGTCCGGCGTGGTCGTGTCCATGATCTTGGCGATGGCTGAGGGGACGTCTGGGCGTATGTGTTAGCTGTGTGGATAGCAGTATCAGGGTCTGCCAACGACTCACCCGGCCGCAGCCCCCGCTTGTCGATCCAGCTGTGCACCTCGGCGCGCTGGGCCTCGAGCTGCTCGACCCACGCCTGCATGTCGGCCAGCTGGCTCTCGAGCTGCTCAATCTTCTCCGTGTACGGCCGCACGGCCTGGTTGAAGGCGGCCGCGAGCAGGTCCGGCATGGGCTCGGCCTTGACGGGCGCGCTGCTCATGGCCGGCACGGGCGCACCGCCCATGGACATGCCGCCGTGGCTGCTGTTGCTCATGCCGCGCACGGGCATGCCCTGCTCCTGCGGCTGCTGCGGGCGTGCGTACATGTCGGCGTCGGCGTCGTCTGGCGGGCCCTGGGGCGGCTGGCTGTTGCGGCTGCTGTCGGGGCGCTTTTCGCTGAAGTCGTCGAAGCTCTGGCGGTTGGCGTCGTGCTCTACGTAGCTGTTGGCGCGGGACGAGCGGCGCTTGAAGAACATGGCGGGGAGGAAGAGGCGCAAGGCCGTCAACGAGCGTATCAATCAATATAGGGCGACGGCGAGCAGGCCCAATTTCGGTTCCCGTATAGAGCGGGAGCGCGCTTCCAAGAATCCGCGCAGAGCTGTGGCTGGGCTCTTATCAGGGGGCTGGGTAGTCGACGGGTACCTAGTCAATAGGAGCAACAGCCGCCAGACCTGGTTGCGCGGGCGATCAGGTAGCACCAACGAGGACCGTGCGAACGAGAACAGAACGAGAACGAAGACTGTGCAGGAAATCGTCGTTGTAGTCGTAGCGAGTATCTGCAGTAACAGCGTGCTCGAAGAATAATTGCTGCAATAGATAGTGCATGTGTGTGTGTGTGTGTGTGTGTCCCTCTGTCGCCAAAAGCTGGCTGCGCTGCCACAACCGTGGTTCAGGCCCAGTCAACGCCCCGCTAGCTCCCTTGCACCAGCCTCCCGCAACGCGCACCCCACCAATAATCGCTGGTGAGCATCAGCCCATCTGACGACACATCCCGCAGCCCACACAGACCTGCCGCCGCGCAGGGGTCGGCCTGCACGCACAGACTTCGTTGCGTGCTCGACCGGCATGTCTCGGTCTCGAGTGCCGATTGTTGTTGATTGTTGATGTTGATGTTGATGTTGATGTTGATGTTG